TGTACCGTCTGCCAGATGGTAATAGTTAAAAAAAAAAAGGGTTCCCAGGATGAGATGGATCTTTGAGGATGTTTTGAAAGGCAGCGGGAACTATAAAGCTCTTCCAAAGAGGGGAGAGGGCAACCAATGATCTTCTGGGCAATGACATTCACCCTCTGGAGTGCTGTCCTATCTGCCCCTGTGCAATTGGCAAACCCTACAGAGGTGCAGTCAGTTAAGATACTCTCTGTGGTGCAGCGGTAGAAGGTCCCCAGCAGTTTTCCATTTGGTTGTTGTTTCCTGAGAAGCCTCAGGTAGTAGAATCTCTGCTGGGCCCTTTTGACCAGGGCTGCAATGTGAGCCCCCCAGGTCAGGTCCTCTTTTAGGGTAACACCCAGAAACTTAAAACTGGCCACTTGCTCCTCTCGGTCTCCCTTGAGAAGCAAGGCTGGAGGTCTGATCTCTTCCTTCTATATAGTCCACTATCAGCTCCTTGGTCTTATTGGTGTGGAGGACCAAGTTATGGTCTCCACACCATGAAAGCAACTGGTCCGCCTCATCTCGGTAGGCAGACTCACTCACACACACACACACACACACACACACACACACACACAAGAGATGAGCCCCACCACTGTTGTATCATTTGCACATTTAGTAGTAGTATTACTGTTGCGAATGTGAATGCAGTCATACGAATGAGATAATAAAACGGTGGCTAGTTTTCTCTCTTTGATGAACCTTGAAGCGGATAATTATAATGAACGAGGTGAAATTCCCCAAACTGAGGGAATTTTGTCCGGAATTGGCTTTTCCTTTTCCGGAAGAATGTGGTGCCAAAGACCCCTTCCTCTTTTCCTAGGGCATCCTCTACGTGGGCTACTCCGAAGGGATCTTAGAAGTCCGATTGGCCAACTGCAGTGTGTATGCCACCTGTGCCAGCTGCCTGTTGGCACGCGATCCGTACTGCGCCTGGGATGGGCGCTTGTGCCGGGCGGTTGGGGAGGACCCCAGAAACAGGTGAGCAAGAGAGGGAGGGAAGAGAGGGGCGTGTGAGTGTGTGTGTGTGTGTGTGTGTGTGTGTGTTCATTTCACAGCAGGGGTCTCCAACCTTGGCAAGCGGATGACTTGTGGACTTCAACTCCCAGAATTCCTCAGCCAGCATGGTTGGAGACCCCTTTTTTCTACAGGATTCCCAGGGTTTGTGTTGGTTTGGATCCACTGGATTTCCCCGACCTTCAACCTGCTGGGCAGCGGAGATCATTATTTTATATGCTTCCTTATGTGTCTAACTTAGAAACCGCCCATCTGCCTCGTAGGGAGGCTCTGGCTGGGGATCAGAGGCAGGCTGGCTTGGCCCAGAAGACAGTTGCGCAACCAGCCTGCATTTACAGTCACGCGGCCGCAATTTATAATGTTTTACCCACCCTGGAAACTGGCATTCATTTCTGGTTTCAGGCAAAAGAAACCAGACAATGGACTCCACACACACACACAAAATTCAAAAAATCGGGTGCAGCCACGCAGTGACCTGCTTAATGGCTGTAATTGTGGGTTCAGTGACAGTTGTAAGTCGAGGACTTGCCTCTGGAAGTTGTGGGTTGTTCCATCGCGGGAGGTTTTCAAGGCAACCATTTGTCTGAAATGATACAGGGTTTCCTGCTTGAGCAGGGGGGTTGGACTAGATGACCTCCAAGGTCCCTTCCATGCTATATTCAATATTTTATGCTCTCTGTACTTTTGTGGGGATAACAGACAGTTGGGTGGGTGCAATCTGCAAATGGCTTGGGGGTGGTCTCTGTGCCAGGATATGGGGGCAAGCTATAGGGCAGGGTTGTCCATTGAGCGGCTCGCTGTGCGACTGCCCAAGTGTTGCCTGCTGACAATTAGCGGTTGTGCGGAGGAGGCCTCGCTGTGACACACTTCTTTTCCTTCCTTCCTTCCTTCCTTCCTTCCTTCCTTCCTTCCTTCCTTCCTTCCTTCCTTCCTTCCTCCCTCCCTCCCTCCCTCCCTCCCTCCCTCCCTCCCTCCCTTCTTTCCAGGACGGAGTGGCTGCAGGATGTGGAGCAGGGGAAGGCCGAGGCCGTGTGCCAGCGCCACAGCGGGAAGGGACGAGCCATGCCAAGGTCGAAGAATGACTCTGATGGAGTCTCCCTGAAAGGTAGAGCGGAGGAACGGCCTTTAGCTCACGTTGGGCCAGTCGGCCTTGCGCATCAAGGCTGCCCCAGCGGGTGCCACGAGGCCCTGGCACACCTCCTCCCCCTGGGCAGAAGAGGGAGGGCCGGCCCGGGGAGGAGGGTCTGGCCCCGGGGTCAAAGTGGCCAGCGTGGCGTTTCGGCCCTTGTTTTCTCCTTTGCTCTCAAAAGGAAAGAGTTTGTCTGACACTCTTTGTGTAAGTTGCCTTGGCACCTGGCGGTTGTGCCCAAAGGGAAGGGGAGCTGGACTCCCCCTCTGCCTCTTGGGCGGAGCCTTTGGGTCAGTCTCTCCGGCCGTACAGCCACAAGGAACTTTTTCTTAAGTTGGAAGCGTCGTCGTTCCCCACCCCGCCGCACTCACCGAAAGGGGTCCGTGGAGCAAGGAGCTGTTTTCGTCCCTCCGGGAGCCGAGTCACACCTTCACCCTTGCTTTCCTTCCTTGCAGTGTTGACCAGCCCGTTCAACTCCCTGGTGCGGCTGCCCTGCCCGCAGGTCTCTGCCCTGGCCAACTACTCCTGGACCTACCCGGAAGGCGGCTTACCATCCCAGGAGGGGCTGACCCTCCGAGACCACACCGGCCTGCTTGTCTTTGTGCACAGCCGCACGCTGGGCGAATACGCCTGCTGGGCCAGCGAGAACGGCTACCGGCACCGGGTGGCCTGGTACGACGTGCGGAGCGACCTCCCCGTGGACGGCGCCGGCAGCGGCAAAGGCAGCCTGGAGCACCAGGCGGTGCCCGTGGGCGAATGGCGCTCTTACTGGGTCCAGTTTGTGACCGTGACAGTCCTGCTCTCCATGACCTTGGCAGTGGCCGTGGCGGTGGGCTTCTTCTCCTACCACGACAAGCTGAAGGCCAAAACCAAAGTGCAGGGTTGCAGCGTTCCCGAGTCCAGCAGGGCTCCGGTGCAGGAGAAGGCCCCCCTCAACGGCAGCCAGGGCCCCCCAGGAGGCGGGGGCTACCAGTCACAGGACGCCGCCGATGGGACCAAATCCTGCTGTGTCCAGGTGGAAGGTGGGAGCCGAGCCGTGGATACGGACAACAACCGCCTGAACTGCCCCTTGATGAATGGGGAAGACACCCGAACTGGGGAGGCCATTTAGCCCGCAGGACTTGGTGGACTCTCGGGCGAGCACCCAAGGCGCCTTGTGCGATTGTAGCGCGGCTCCCAAACACGGCCGGGTTTTGCCTCTGGGGTCCGTTTTTAAACATCGTTCGTTCTCGGTTGTGTTTTGTACGAGGCCACCCCAGCTGCAAAACTGACCCTGGAGATCCAGACGGCTGGCTTCCTTCCTTCCTTCCTTCCTTCCTTCCTTCCTTCCTTCCTTCCTTCCTTCCTTCTCTCCCTCCCTCCCTCCTTCCTTCCTT